TATATATATATATATATATATATATATATATATATATATATATATATATATATATATATATATATATATATATATATATATATATATATATATATATATATATAATATTTTTAATAACTGAGATATTTTAACAATATCCACATTAATCAGAAATGTATCTTAATGTGTTATTTTGCCCTGCCATATTAAATATTATTAAATAAATGTACAAATTTTAAAACAATTAATGCAATTAAAGACATTTACTGCAAATGACTAGCAACATTATTAGTAAATACTGTAAACTACTATATTACTGTACTTTAGGAGCATTCAAAAACAATAAAATCAGATGTAATCTACAGATGAAGAATACAGAAGATATTAAATGGCGGTAATAGCACATCTGTATATATATATCTGGTATTTTGTAATAACTGGAATTATGTAATTTATCTATTATGCCAGTCCAAAAGGTACATATACTGCAGTTAAAATCCTTTAAAGCAATCAGAAGTGTTGTTTTAGGTCATCAAATAACATTTTTCTACTGTAAATGTGATAATAGCTGTAGTATTTCGTACTTAAATATAATAATGGAGATTACAGTATGATAGCCTTTGTTTACAGTGATCATATTTCATTATTTAGACTAAACACTAGTGTGTCTGTTTATCATGTAAACCATGTCAACGTCCTGTTTTTTCTTTTCTTTTTTCATTCTGTTGTTTTGATGACAGTTCCATAATGCTAATCAACTCGCTGCCTGGTGTTTACACCACATCTGCACCCATTACAACAGGATATGTGCCAATTATCGCAAAGAGATCAAGTCCAAATCGCCGGGTAAGAGCATTTCCTCAACAATTTACAGTATGAGACCGATGCAAACCGTGTGGGATTTAAAGCCCCTGTAGTAACATGAACTCCATTTTATTACATAGAATTTTTCTTAAAGCAACAGTTTACCCAAATATGGAAATTATCCTGTAATTTACTCATCAGCCTAGACTTTCTATTTTCATACAAACCAAATTGGTTACAAAATTCGCTTCTGATGGCATTCAGTAACACACTGGAGTACAAATATGGATGATTTTATGTTGGATGCACTTATTTATATTTTGTATTTTATTTCTGGTTTAAAAAATGATAATAATATTAAACAAATGGTTCAGTAAAAAAAAAGTGAAATTTTTTTGAGATTTTTTTTGGATGACAGAACAGAAGAAAAATGTTCATGCTGGTCTTTTTGTACAAAACTACTTTTAGGTGGTGGGGGATAGTATTATATATTTATTTATATTATTTAATAATACTAATTATTTAGTATTTTATATATATATATATATATGCACTTATATGCACATATATATATGCACTTATTTATATTTTGTATTTTATTTCTGGTTTAAAAAAATGATAATAATATTAAACAAATGGTTCAGTAAAAAAAAGTAAAATTTTTTTGAGATTTTTTTTGGATGACAGAACAGAAGAAAAATGTTCATGCTGGTCTTTTTGTACAAAACTACTTTTAGGTGGTGGGGGATAGTATTATATATATATATATATAGCAGCAAATAAAACAAATCTAATATAATATAACAATAATATAATATTGTAGCAGTTAAACAAATAAAAAGAAAGTAACAATTTAGTATTTATATGAAATTCAGTTTCAATAAATTAGGTATTTTTTATTTTTAGAAAGATGAGTGTCCACCTTTTCCTCAGACAGCACAGATCTGCTTGATTTGATCACCTGCTTGATTTGATCACCTGCCATTTTAGTGGATCTAAAAGCAGGAATTATCTGACTGAAATGGGCTTATGAAGGAATAATGTAACAGGGTTCTGTTGCATTTAACATTTTCTTAAAACCCGACATTTTCACTACCGATTAAGATCTCTCAGAAGTTTTTTTTTTCACCACTCTCTTGGTAGCGGTGATGGTGCGCGACGTATCTGAAGAGCGGTGGGGGCGTGAGATTAATGTGAATTTGACTGAAATTATATAATGATTGCTGGTTAAATGTGTTCATTTTTTGTCATGGAATATATTTCCATGCATACATCCACTTTAAAAAGTTATTTTATCAGAGATTTGTGGATTTCTCAAGTTTTATGATTGATCTGTATATTCTAAAAGCAGTGCAAATTAAATTATTGTTAATTTGACTGAATAGTAAACGTTAACAATTATTTTTAATGTGTTAATATGAGATTTTTTTCTATCAGACAATATCTTCTATTCTCAACTGTAAAAAAATATTATATTATTATGATTATTATATTTTATAAGAGATTATTTATTGTTTTACGATGATTGATAAGTAAATATTAATAGCAGTGCAAATTAATTTGACTTGTAAATTTGACTTAATAATATTTTTAAAAAAATCTGTTTTGTGTTAATGTGACATGCTTCTGTCTGATATTACATATTCCATGCATATTGCCACTATAAATAAAAGTACATTTTTGAAGGATTTGACATGTGGCCCTTCTCTAGGTTTGCAAAACTTGATGTGGCCCTCGGGTCTAAAAAGTTTGCCTACCACAGTAATAGGGAATCGTTGTTTTGCTATTTTAGAGACAGCATACAGATAAAAAAAAGGACAGTTTTCATTTTTAAGTGAACTGTTCTTTTAAGTGGACACTATTTGTTTCACATATTGATTAAAAAATAATCCTGTATGTTTATTTAAAAAAAATTACTCAGGATTTGCTAGTTTAACTTCTACATAAACATTTTCTTGTTAAATGCACACTGTAAAAATGTTACTGCCTAATTTGTTTTAGTTGAATTAAACAACCTATAGTCATCTCAACTTAAATCAATAAAACTGACTAGAAATATCGAGTTAAACTTTGCATAACTAAAGAAGATGTGTTGAAACCTGATTATCTCATTAAAAGGAGTTCAAGTAACATAAAATCAATTGTTACGGCCGTTTGTTATGATTTTTACAGTGCTCTCAACGAAAATCAATAACAGTGTATGCCTTACTACATATCATTCAACCCTGCTGTCTTTCCTCTCTTCTCTTGTAATGTGAGCAGAAAACCAGGAATATTTCGAGAAGCACCGCTGGCCTCCGGTTTGGTATCTGAAAGAGGAAGATCACTATCAGCGGGTGAAGAAGGAGAGAGAGAAAGAGGATGTGGTGCTGAATAAACATCACTCGCGGCGGCGCTGGTGTTTCTGGAGCACGTCCCCTGCTGTCGCTTGAGTCTTTCTAAAAAAGCTCTCAGTTTATTTTGAAAAGCTCTTATTTTTTCCTTATGTCTTCTATTTTGCTAAGATGAAACAGGCCACGCTAAAAGAGCAATCAGTTTCGAAGCACAATCTCAGCGTCCGATCGATGCTGGCCGACAAATCTTGCGAAGGTGATGTAAAAGCCTGTTCCCTATGATGTAATAATAATGGTTTATTAACTGAGCTGCTGTGTGGGACTTGTGTCACACTGACTGTGTTAGATGCATAAGAATCTTAAAAGACTAAGAGGATTAGGAAATCTGTTGAGTTTTTCTCTCTTTTTTTAACTTAGGTGCTATATACCGTATATACGCATTAACACGTTTTAACTGTTCGATGATGTGGAAAGCGCTGATTCTGAGCACATGCCATGCATTTTTTGAGCAGTTGCTGGGTAATTTTGGTTGGCGATTTGCACAATCGATGAGTGAAAACTAAGAGCACTTGAGGTTAGATTGTATTATAATGGATGTACGTTTGATCGATGTGATTGTAGGAGCTTAAAGCATTCAGGCCGATGTATAAACATCATGATAGCTGGGTCATTGCACTTAAAGGGAAAGTACACCCAAAACTGAAAGTTTAAATTATTTATTTTATACTTTATTCACTTTTTTTCAAACCTGTTTGACTTTCATTCTTCGGTTAACACCAGAAGAAGATATTTTGACCATTGACTTTTAAATATTTGTTTTTCCAACTATGAATGTCAATGGTTACTGGATTTCAGCATTCTTCAAAATATCTTCTTTTGTGTTTAACAGAAGAAAGAAAGTTGAACCGGTTTAAAACCATTTGAGGATGAGTGAATTGTGTGAAATTTTCATTTTTGGCAGTACTGTTCCTTTAAGGCCCCGATGTACTTCAAGTTAAAATGTCATTTCGTAACAAACACATTTGTTTGGAGTTCATTTAGGAAATTAAACGCTCCTCAAAGTTCAAACAAAAATAACACTTTTATCATTACTTACTCTATACATGTTCATTTGATCCAAACCTGTTTTGACTTTCTTTCTTCTGTTGAACATAAAAGAAAATATTTTGAAGAAAGCTGGTAACCATTCACTTTCATAGCACTTGAATTTCCTACTATGAAAGTCAGTGGTTACCGGTTTTTAGCTTCCTTCAAAATACATTGTTTTTTGTTCAACAGAAGAAAGAAACTCATAAGAGTTTGGAATCTCACTTGAGGGTAAGTAAATAGTTTGTACATTTTCATTTTTGGGAGTACTGCCCCTTTAAGGCCCCGATATACTTTAAGTAAGATGTCATTTCGAAACAAAAACCCACTTGTTTGTAGTTCATTTAAGAAATTAAATGTGAATCAAAGTTCACCCAAAATTAAAAATTCAATCATTGTTTACTTCATACATATTCACTTGTTCCAAACCTGTTCGACTTTCTGTCTTTTGTTGAACACAAAAGAAGATATTTTAAAGAAAGCTGGTAACCGTTGACTTCCATAGCTTTTGTTTTTCCTACTTTGGATGTCAATAGTTACCGGTTTTTAGCTTTCTTCAAAATATCTTCTTTTGTGTTCAACAGATGAAAGAAACTCTTAAGAGTTTGGAATCTCACTTGAGGGTAAGTAAATAGTGTGTAAATCATCATTTTTGGGAGTACTGTCCCTTTAAGGCCCCGTAATTCAAGTTAAAATGTCATTTTGTAACAAACACATTTGTTCATTTAAGAAATTAAATGCGCCTCGAAGTTCACCCAAAACTACAAATTGTATCATTACTTTATACATTATTCACTTGTTCCAAACCTGTTTGACTTTTTTTCTTCTGTTAAACACAAAAGAAGGTTTTTTAAAGACAGCTGGTAACCGTTGCCTTCCATAGCATTTGTTTTTCCCACTACGGATGTCAATGGTTGCAAAAACGCATTTGTTTGGAGTTCATTTAAGAAATTGAATGCACAGTGCAAATTTAACAATAAGTTTGGTAAACATTGTATGCAAGATTCACACCAGACACTAAGCATCCTTTCACTAGATTATTCATGGGATGCAAATTTTCTGGACAATTAGGATTTTTGGAACTTGCAAGAAAGATGCGATCCTGACCAACATGTTGCGATTTCTGCATCCTTCGCCACAGATTTACCTCTGTTTGCATTTTTTGCATTGGCTTTGTATGTAATCTATAGGCGCAAATAATTTATTTCACATTCGGTGTGAAGCGACCATTAGAATTTATAATTGGTCCTTGGTAATTATGCTATAGGTGGATGCTACGTTGAGGCTCCGCCTTCTATAATTAGGAAAGCTCCGCGAGTTCATTTGAATTTTTTAGTACATTGAGGTAAAAACAAACACATAAGAGTTTATTTATAAAGTAGAAAATTGAAATGTAATTCTAGATTAAAAGTATACCACTACTTAACTATTTCAAATTTCGTTTAAGCCTTAAATTGATGATTCACACTGAACTGAGCTAAACTGAACTGAACTGAACTTAAACACTAAAACCTGAACCACACTGTTCCAGTTACTATGACCATTTATGTGAAGCTGCTTTGACACAATCTACATTGTAAAAGCGCTATACAAATAAAGCTGAATTGAATTGAATTAAACGAAATGAAAGCTTTGCTGAGTATACCAGGGCCTTTATGTAGTACATTTTGAAGGAGGAAAAAAATAGGTACTTTATAGTCCTGAAATATGTTCTGCAGGTTAATTCAGGCACATTAATTAATCCATTAATTTTAGTTATTTCATTTAATTTTAGCTTTAAAATGAATAAATGTATACATGAATGTAGAGTCCCTAAAAGGTCATGGCTGAAAACTAAAAAAAAAAAAAAAAAAACATAAGGGGAAAATATTGCAAAATGTTTTGATTCCTCTGACTTTGTATTCATTTGCAAAACCTAAAACAGACTTAACTTAAGGGGGCATTTAAAAGACTTTTTACAAAAAATAAAATCAAATAAAATAAAACAAAAAATGTACATCTGTGTTTTAAAAAACAATTAAACAGGGTGAAATAGAAAAATATGCAAAAACAGGAAACAAACCAAGAAAAAAAAAAGTATAGCACATCAAATTCATTGATTATACAGTATCTGTTTTATGTTCATCAGAAAATTATGTCACTTCCTGTGGGATGATAAAGAGTTAATAAATAAGAGAAATAAGACAATCGTGAGGCAACTTATTAAAATAAAAAAATCTAATGAATGTTTTGATTGGGAAAACTGTGTTATTTTAATAAGCTTAATTGTTATTTTACTGTTTTGTATCATGAAATTGTTATTTTAATGGTAATACTTAAGAATAATTAGGGCTTGGCCATATGGCAAAAATGCAATCTCGATAACTATTTTCCACGATTGAACGATAATGATATACATATCAATATAAGTTGTTAATGCTTCCAGATTTAAAAAGAGTACCCCAACAGTGACCGAAGCCACAAAAACTAGAGGGTCCATTACATGTACATATTTTCAGCCGATAAATTTTCAATGGCTGAACACTCTTTTAGATTTCCATTGTTGCACATTTCTGCTGTGTGATTGGCTCTTAGATCAATACAGAGTAAAAAAGTCCAGAGCTCATCACTGTTATTGACATAAATTTATCGCAATTCGATATAATATTGATTATCGGCCCAGCCCTAATATTAATTAATGATAATAATTCAATCTATTATTGATCCTTAGAAGAGTTTTTCCACTATAAATATGATCTACACATATACTGCACATTGTGAATGACCCAGCTCTGTCCAGATGGTTTTACAAGAGTACATAAACTAAACCACATCCAGCTAACAGTTCCGCATTATTTTATCTACGCTCTCTTCCATGTGTTGTAGCATAATGTTAATCTTTACTGACAAACCACACTTTCACTTATAATTAGAAGGGCTTAGAAACACGGCTTAGTTCAGGGCAAACATATATTTAAACAAAACACGAAAGAAAGAACGAAATAATGTAACCACTTCTCACATATAGTACATATAATACATCAACTCCACCATTGTCGTGCTAGAAGTTGCATATATACGTACTGTAGTGGATTGTATTTAAATTTATTTACACATCAAAGATTGTCATAGTTGTGAAAGCTAAAGCTGTGTCCTATAATGAATAATTGATGTATGTAGATGTTTCATGGTATGATATTACCGGTCAAGAATGTACTGCAGCTTAATGTGTCGGTACGTAACGCACTCTTGAAGACAGCGACAGTTTTTTATTTGAAAAACACAATCTCGTGACAATTCGTAACTTTTGAGTTTAGTGGTTAATTCGTGCGATTTCATTTACACGTTTTAGTATGATTTTCTCATCCACCAATGAGGGCCAGGGGTTGGGTCTACGCCTCTTTTCGAAAATTGTACATTGTCATACGAATTTAATTGTACAAATTTGTATGAATTAGCCACTTTTCTGACAATATGTAATAATTGTTACGTTTTCTTGTGAGATCGGGTTGTTGTTTTTTTTTAAAACACAAGCTCGTAGCAATTCGTAACTTTTGGATTTAGTGGCTAATTCCTATGAATTCATTCGCATGTTTTAGTACAATTTTTTCATCCACCAATGAGGGGTAGGGTTGGGGTTTGGGGCCACACCTCCTTTTAAAAATCGTACATTTTATCATGAATTGAGTCGTATGAATTTGTACAAATTAGCTACTTTTTTTTACAATATGTTAAAATTTTTACGTTTTCTCATGAGATCAAGTTGTTGTTTTTTTGAAAAATGCAATCTCGTGGCAGTTCGTACCTTTTAGATTTAGTGGCTAATTCGTATGATTTCATTTGCATGTTTTAGCATGATTTTCTCATACACCAATGAGGGGTAGGGTTTGAAGTCACACCTCATTTTAAATATCGTACATTTTATTATGAATTTAATCGTACGAATCAACCACTTTTCTGACAATACGTAACATCTGGGGTCTGATTTATAAAATTAGTTGCGAAAGCTAAAGCTGTGTCCTATAATGAATAGT